TTTCAGTGTAAGCTTGTGTCATCCCCTGGCTGTCTAGACGTCTCCACGTGCTCCACGTGAGTCTCGAAAAATACTCACCCCGTCTCTCGAATCGTGTTTCTTTGGCGAACGTTAAAGAGTAGTGTTGAGGAAAATAAGTCAACTTTTAAATTAAATGTTTTACGTGTATGCTGTAAATCCCCTATTATTTTATTGAGCTGCTGTAGGCTTGCATCAAAGAAAACGAGTCGGAACCTTAGTTCAAAACCACTTCGTTTAATCTATCTTCCTTTGAAAAAAAACCTGTTCAGACTCTGTGAACGAAGTGTTGTATTTTTAATGGCGTTCAGTATATTATATGTATTTGAGGAGACCGATGATGGGGAGGAGAGGGGAAAGGAGGAGGAGGAGAATAAGGAAGAAGGGGTGCGGGCGAAGGACGAGGACGAGAACATGGACAAGAAGGACGAGGGAGGAGGTGGAGTAGGATGATGATGTTATTTTCCAATATAACTTTTTTTTTTATTCCGCTTTCTTTGAACATATCTTCGACGTAAAGCATTCACAACAACTCACGTCTGTCCCATGTGCATGACATTCTGACCGTTGACCTCTCCTGTCTCAGGGTCAAGGACGACATTGTGTAGCGGAAAGAGGTACGGTTTGTCTCTCATGGCACCCAACAGATTCATGTGTTTAGCCGCCTCGTGCAGGGCGACTATCCCGTCAGGATTCACAGGGGAGCCGTCGATAAAGTTTGAGTACACCGGCTCCATCTCGGAACTGATTTCCTGTCGAGGACATGTGGACTTTGAGTTGTACGTTTCATTTTCACTTCCTTTATTTTTTTAAGCCATATACTCGTAAATATATCAACCGCCCCCTCCCCCTTTTTCTCCTCCTCTTGTTCCCCTCATATTGATACAATGTAGGTCATTAAAACATTTAGAAGGTGGACCACTTCAACCGAGCTTGTCTGCCCACCGCTCCTCGAAGACGAGAAAGATACAACCTCTCAGCTGGCAGACCATGAAATCGATTAGAACC